TCTTAGCAGACCACATTTTTTTTAAAAAATAAAAATCAATGCATCTTAAATTAGAATTTAAATTAAGGATGTCTTTCTAAAACACTTATATGCCAATCTTATTGAAACCAGAGTAGCTTAGATCTGGTGACTGTGAATAATGACTAGGTACTCAGCTGAGTGGAAATGTCTGAATCCTATGTCTTGTCCTCAAGTCTGAAATCCAGTACTTGCCTGGGATGATAAAAGGTGGTAATTTCTGATGACTCATCACATGGCAGCCAACACTAGTTCCCCACATCCAGGTTACTGAGTGGTAAATGCAGTTCCTGTGAAGAATTACGATTGAGGTCACACTCGCAGAAACAAGAGCTATAGCATCTGTACTCAACTTATGGCTCCAGAGAAGGAATGTCATGAGTGCCACCCCTAGCAACCAAGCTGTATCTCTAAACAGATGCAAGCTTTTAGGCTGGGGTACTTATGCTACTCTGAAGGTGTGGAAGCCACAGCAATGCCTGTCCTTCCTGCACTACTGGGTAAATGAGAGAAGCCCACACTGCTCCTCCTCCCACATCAACATTAACCAGTGTCCTGGGGGTTGATGCTAGGTTGGGGAGAAGCCGCAGCACTGACTCTTCTGGCACATACAAAGGACTCCTAGCAGGGAGCAGTGTCCTTTCATGCTGAACTTATTGGGTTTAATGTAAAAAAAAAACACCCAACCATCTGCCTTGGAAGCACAGAAGCTTTATGCAGTATCCCCAACCCTCCATGTTTTCCAGTTAAGGGGAAAATGCTGTTTAAACAATTACAAAGATAATCTGACTCCAGTGATAACAAGAGAAAGAATTTTTTACTCACAAAAACAGAAGCACATCTTACATGACATATTCATGTAGGTACATTTAATTTATTGTGAACAGATTAACTTCAAAAAGGTTAACTTGCTACGGCTCCGAGCCCAGGTAAGAGAGAGAAGAAGAGAGGTCCTATATAAGATGAAATCAGAAGGCAAGCAAGGGCCAAAGAGGCTCAACATCTAACCAATGAGAGGGTTGGGGCCAACGGCCAAGGGTGCCCAAGTGAGAGAATTCTATTAACCCTTTCCCTCCCAGATCCTCTTGCATGCAGAGCTACAGTATCCAACAGAACTTTGGATCATGCAGAACCAGTAAGGGAGAGAAGTAAGGGGATTGGTATGTGTGTGTGTCTCCTGCTGCATCCAGACATTGAACAGACAAAAAGCCAGCATGGTGTAGTGACTATGGTGTTGGACTAGGATCCAGAAGACCAGGGTTTGAATCCCCACTTTGCCACAAAAGCTTGTTAGGTGATGACCTTGGGCAAGTCACTCTCTCACACACTAACATGCCTCACAGCATTGTTCATGCCAGGAATGATGTTGTAAACCACACTGGGTTCTCATTGTGGAGAAAAGTGGGGTATAAATATCTTTAAAAAGTTAAAACTGCTGCTGCTCCAAAGCTTGGTGCAACACAAGAGAAACTCTCACCAAGTTCTTTATAACCACTGACTACACAGTCATCTTCAAAGGATCTGTGGACTTCTAGACTTCCTGGCTAGAGGTTGGGGTGTCACCACAGACAGTTGCCCTTGGCAACAGGGATTATGGAACGTTGGTGATAATGCTATCATGCATAGCTAACATGAGCCCTAAACCTCAGTTTGTGTAAAGTAGTTTCTAATTTCTATATTATGAAAGAAGACAATTGGCTGGCTTTCTCCCACAGAATGCCACCTACCCCAAATTATCAGTATATACCTGAAGTTCAATCTTTTACATGTTGGCATGCTCTATAGTTTTCTCCATAAGGATGCAGAAGTCAGCCAAGATGCAGCCAGAAGCTTTAACAGAATCATTTGGATGGGAAGACCCTGCTGCTGGGCCAGGCACTCTCTCGGACCCAGGGGAATTCAAGCTGTAAGCAAGGTCACCATTGCTGCAGCCACTTCCATCATTACAGGGCTCTTCACCATCGACCACAATTCCTTTATGGAGCTCCCATATGGATAAGTGCAATCAATCAATCAGCTGAGGGACTACAATCTTTTTTTCTATGGAAAATCCTTGGTCTCCCTGAGTTCCATACGCTGCAATTTGTCTTGAAACCGGCCAGATGTTGCTAGAAACTCGGGCCTGGTTTTTGACAATCAAATTTTGGCTTTGCCTTTTGTTTAATTCTGATTAGAATTATCTTACTTTCCTAATGTTGACAGATTACCATGAATCTAACTGGTTGAAATTAGTCCTTAACAAAATTAGGTCTATAGGTATACCTCTAGATTCGCTTTACTTATCATCTGCCTCAACAGCATTTCGGATAATTAAATGTAGGCTGTTAGATATCCAATTGCAGCACCTGACTGAGGCTGCTAGGAAAACTTGTTCTCCAATTCATCCGGAATTATCTCTGATACCTGGCCAGATAGCCTCTTATTTCTGTTCTTTAACTGATCCCCATCAAAGAAGGGCATTTATGCTGGCCAGATTTAATGTATTATCGTTGGCCATCTTCTTCAGAAGATGTCAAAAAATCCCCTATGATGATGCCCCTGTAGTCTGGGTACTATTGAATCCGTTTCCCATGTTCTATTAAAGTGTCCATTATACATTAAGATCTGAGAAAAAATTTTGAACTCCCTTCTCTGTACGTGGTGTGGCCTTCCTGACAGTGTCAAGATTCAGTGGTTACTTTCTGGATACAACTTTCTCATAACCTCTAATGTTGCCTGTTTTCTCCAGTCTGCAATTCGATCCAGGGAAGCTATTAGCTGATCTATTTCATTCTGGTTGGCCTTATGAGCGATGTACTTAAAAATTCTTTTTAATGTACTTTTATTTTTCACATGCCAACAAAGGTTATCTATCTATCTACATGTTGGCATGGAAATAATAGGACTGATGATGGTGGAAAGTATCACCAAGCTGCAGCCAATTTATGCTAACCCTGTAGGGTTTTCAAGGCAAGAGGTGTTCAGAGGTGGTTTGCCATTGCCTGTCTCTGTGTAGCACCCCCGGATTCCTTGGTGGTCTCCCATCCAAATACTAACCAGGGCTGACCTTGCTTTTTAAGCTTACTAAGTGGGCATAATAATAAAGGAAAGTCAGCACGATCATTACTATATGTTGCAGTGGGTGTAGGGCCAAATCTGAGAGACAGTTGCTTGCCTCAACCCATGTGGTAAGTTCATGGTTGAGTCACGATTCAAAGCAAGGACTTCCTGATCTACAGCTCAATCAGTATGCTACACCAGCTCTCATACTTTTATCAACGTATCTGTTACTAATTTAATTTGGTGCATGTTCCAGGATGAAAATGTGGACTTTAGAAGTCTCTGCTGGATCAGCAGCTAACGATAGGCAAATTTGATTTCCACGGTTTGTGAAGTCTTTAAAAATTAATCAGAAGAATCAAATAAAACAAGAATCTTCATGTTTAGCTTTCAACAGCTGAGCAGAAAATCTTGCAGAGGTGGCTGTCATGAAATCAAAGTTACCTGAAACCTAAGCATGGATAAAATCCCTTTGCATTTGTACAGCAAAGTCTTTTGACACTACGCCCAAGACATTTGCATATTTTGAAACATTCTGTTTGCTGTTTGAGGTAACAGTGGTACATTTGCAGTATGTATCATCCTTAACTATCAGAAATATCAACAGACTGTTCAAGGTAGTACAAATGCTGCTCCAAGACTTCCAAAGATCAGGGGGGAAGAAGAAGAAGAGGAGGAGGAAGAGGAGGAGATTGGATTTATACCCCGCCCTTCACTTGGAGTCTCAGAGCGGCTTACAAACTCCTTTCCCTTCCCCTCCCCACAACAGACACCCTGTGAGGTGGGTGGGGCTGAGAGAACTCTGACACAAATGGCTCTTTTTCAAGGACAGCTGTGCCAGAGCTTGTGACTGACACAAGGTCACATCAGCAGGTGCAAGTGGAGGAGTGGGGAATCAAACCCGGTTCTCCCAGAATAAGCATCTGATGGGTGTTCAGACAAGGATGGTTTCGTGTAAATGGTCTGTGGAACACAGGAACAGATCAGGATGGGAGTTTAGTTTGAAGAACAGTCTCTGAGTCCACTAATTTTCATCCATACAATTTAAAGCAAAAACTGTCCTTTACCACTCGACAATAATCGCACTTTCAGAAGAAGCAAATCAAAGATGGCACTAATGCATTCTGCAGGACCATCCTGAGCAGAGTTAAACCTTTCCAAGTCCACTGAAGTCCCTGTGTTTCGAAAGGTATACTTCGCATGGCCCTGACAATAAAGGGAATGCTTAAAGCTCTGACCTTAAGTACTCCTTTTAAAAATTAATTCAGAAATCAACAGGGTTTATAGCTAAGCAAAAGGTATACAACAAAAAGCCAATGGTTAAAATTATCATGATTTAAAAAAATCACACAATGCAGAGGTTGAAACAAAAGGCAAAATTTGAAAGCTTCATTAGACGTGATCCCTTCCTTGGGTCATCCTGTCCTTTTGGAAGATGTCCTCCATTTTTAGCAAAAATACCACATCCACCAGCAAATTAAAGAGAAAGAGGTTCAGAATGGCTTCCTTTACAATGTGCCTTCCTACCCTAGTTCGAAAATTTGTCCTTTTGTAAAATAAATAAATCTAAGACCAATCTCCTCTCTGTTGAGAGGAACACAATTTCCCTGTGACTCGCTGGAGAATGTGGTATTAATCCCACCCCCTATCCCACCGCACAGCCTGGGACAAGGAAAGGGGGAAGGGGGTCTGCTCTCTACAGAGCAGGCGGTCTCCCAGGGGACTGCTTGCAGCAAAGGACGGGGAGGGGGGCAGAGAAAACAGAACAGGAGAAGGGTCCGTGCAGATCCTCCTCCTCGTGGTGAAGCACACTCAGGAACGAATATATAGCATCAACTCCATTTCAGAAAGTTTGGGCTGGCAACAAGATTCAGACACACCGACAAAAACCACATCCGCTTTATGGCTCTCTGCCAAGGCAGAATGGAGGCATTTGTACTTACTGCGTCCTGCAGCGAACTTTTTGTCGGATTCAATCGTTCACTCTGGTCCCGTTGCTCTCCCCCTCCTCCGCAGATAAGAAGAGTTCAGTTGGAGAGGCTTCCTTTTTTCCTTAGCATCCTACCCGCCTGTTTTTTTTTTTTTTAGCGACGACGCTTACTACGATCACTTTCTAGTTTACTCATTTCCTGGAGGTCGGTGTTACGCTCTGGGGATGGACCCCTCCGAACAGCGCTCTCAACTTTCCGCCGAATCGCGGGACTTTTTAAAGGTGGAGGTCAAAAGGGACAAGAGAATGTGTTAAAAGTCGCTCTTCGTCGCCTAGCCTCCCTAAGCCCTTAAACGTTTGCAAATTCAGGCAAAAACACCCAGAGGAAGTTAGGTAATTTGCTCCGGCGGGATTTCCAGCAAGGCAGAACTTTGCAGAGAAAATCTTGGACGCCCTTAAATTCCGACTGTTGTTGCGCAACACGCGAGGAAAGCAACATCTTTCCGGAGTTTGCTCCTCGTGGCTTTTTGTAGTCACATGAAATGCAGCGAACGAGTTCAAGCAACGCTACCGGCCCATGCGGGTTTTTAAAGATGAAGAACATCAGAACTCGCTCCCCCTTCTCCACCGGCCCTTGTAAATATTATTTATTCCTCCTGATATAAATCGTTAGTCTTTGAGGTGCTACTGAGGTTATGTGGAGATAGATTCAGGTGGGTAGCCGTGTTGGTCTTACTTATTTATCCAATGGCAGAGTTACACACAGGAAGTATATAAAATATGTAACTACAACAGATATGCAGACTGATTGGGCAATCCCCCTAAATATTAATATCCAGGTTTTTAATCCATTCAGTCACAGCTGGGGAGAGTTCAAAGAGCTCTGTCACATCTCCCAGTAAAGCAGAACACTCACATTCCTGTGACAGATAGAAATTAGTTCGGTGGGCTGTGCCACAATCGCATTGGTGCCCTGGTATTTTGCCCCATTTAAACAACATGGCCTGCACAACTGCCGAAGCTTGTTGGTCTCAAGTAGCAAAACAAAGTTTGAGTCCACTGGCACCTTTAAGACCCACAAGACACCTTTAAGATTCAACAAAAGTTGAATAAAACTTGGTGGTCTTAAAAAGAGTTATATGGAGTTATGCACAAACATGTATTATGGTGTTTCTTTCTGCATAGCACCTCTGAGTGTTTGATTCCCATCTTTAATACAGAACCTTGATTCCCATCTTTAATACAGAACCTTGAATGGCAACAGATAAAATTGTGTAATGTTAGACTGATAGGCATGGACCAGGAAATCTGTGTTTAAGCAAATTTCTCTGCACCAGGAATTTATCAGCTGGCCTCTGGGGGAGGCCAGACAGGTTTTCTGAGATAGAGTTCCTTAGGCAATCTCACGGGGTGGTTGTTGTGGGGATAAAATGGAGAGTGGAAGAACAATGTTGTACACCACTTTGGGATCTCGATTTAGAGAAAAAAAGGGGGAAATATGTAATAAAATATTTGAAGCAGAAATGTTAGTTGATGAAGGAGAGACCATTAGTGCATTAATTGTCAGGTCCTATCCACCTAGGCAGTAGTTAAAGCACACTTAACTAGGAGCTTAGGTGCCGATCCCTCAGGAATACCCCAAATATACCTGGGATCCAGCATGGTCCAGCCAATTGCTCAGCACTGTCTGAGGCTGGTGCAATTGCTCAGCCACTGCAGCAGCTCCCAGGCAGGACTGCTAGCCCACAGTGCGGCGCCCCCTTTCTACTCTGAGCAGTTGCCACAGAGCTGGCTAGGAGCTGTTTATGACATCTCCACAAACTGCAAGGCCATGACTGGAGTAGCATTGCTAGCCAACTAAATACTCATACAGTTCCTTTTGCAGAAAGTAATCATTTTGTAGAAAAAAACATACTTAGATTCTATGCATGTTTTTGTCTCCCCATCTTAGAAATGGCATTCTTTCCTGTGCATGAGAGAAGCATTAATGTTTCTTCTTAAAAAACATCTGTGATCTCCAGTTTTAGAAACATTCCTATTAAAAGCATTTAATGCTAATTATTCACTTTAAAATGGCTTGCCTAAATAATGGGGGGCACCTCTGTAATTAATTGAAAATTTTATACTTTCACATTTTGACCGAATAGATTTTCAAGGCAGCTTATAGCATTTCTATGATTATATCTTATCAAATGTACATTAATTAGATTAAGCAAGAGGTATCATTAATGAACCAATCACAACAACCAGTTATCCAGTCAATTCCAAATGCATGCTGAAACAGAACACTCGTTACCAATGTCTTAACTAAAAACAATGTAAAGTTTCCCTTCTGAAGTGCCTCACACTGCTGGGACTGCTACTCAGAAGGTCTAACCCATATTGCTACTCCCAGAGCCTCAGATAATGGGGGCACATGAAACAGAAGAAGATCTTAGTGTTTGTAGTAGGTTTGTCTACTTCCAGGTGGGGCCTGGACCCTGGAGATCTCCTGAAATTACAACGAATCTCCAGACCACAGGGTGCTCTCTCACACACTAAATAATGCAGTTGCAATCCACTTCAGTGACCATTTGCAAGTGGAGTTTGCCATTTCATGCAGTAAAATCCATTTTCAAAGTAGATTGAAAGTGCATTCAGGCTCTTTCTGTGGCAGGAACTCCTTTGCATATTAGGCGACACACCCCTAATGTAGCCAATCCTCCAAGAGCTTACAGTAGCCCCTGCAAGAAGAGCTGTGTAAGCGCTTGGAGGATTGGCTACATTAGGGGTGTGTCGCCTAATATGCAAAGGAGTTCCTGCTACAAAAAGAGCCCTTAGTGTGTGTGTGAAATTGTGATCAGTTCCCCTGGAGAAAATGGCTGCTTTGGAGGCTGGATTCTATGGCATTGTACCCTGCTGAGGTCCCCCCCTTCCTCAAACCGCACTCTCCTCAGGCTTCACCCTCGAAATCTCCAGGAGTTCCCAACCTGGAGTTGGCAACTATAGTTTGGTATGACCCATGTGGGGAAGGCAGACCTTCCCCAGACGCTTCAGAGCCTTGCTCCATGTTGATCAAAAGGCTTTTAATTGTTAGCCAAGCAGATTAATTAAATGTTGCAGACTTCATTTACAGGAGCGCTGAAACAAAATTTTGCAACCTGGCAAGAAATGTTCAGAACTGGATTTTGATGTGGTAATTTGATCTCAAAATAGGACATTTGAATTCCATAACTGAAATTTTACATCACTACTTTGAAACTCTATTCTCTCCACATTACTAATGATTTTATATTCATTACTCTGTTATGTCTTTCTTTGGTTGAGTTCTTTTGAAATGAAAATATCCCAGGTCCTTCAATTGCCATTTATAGGGATCATGCTCTAGCTTTTTGATCATAATGGTTGCTTTTTTTCTGTATTATTTCTATCACTATATATTCTTTTTGGAGATTTGGTGCTTGAAACTAGTCTACAGATTACTTTAAATGTGCCTGCATGATAGAGGCATATTAAAGGTATTATAATAATTGAGGTCTGATTCCCAATTCTTGAACAGTCCTTAATGGTGAGTGAACTCGCCATTTTCACTGCCATTGCACAGATGTATTTAGTAATTTTTGAACCACAAAAAGCAGTGGTGGGACTCGGATTTT